GTCTTCCATGTGTACTTAGGCTACGAATATCGTTTACCATCAGATAAAAAGAACTATCTTCGATCCGGAAATTGACCTCTAGCTTTGAAATATCGGCCATTTATTACTGCAACAATCCAGTTATACCGCACATTGTTGTATTCACAAATTGGCAAATGAGCGGCATGGTTACAACGAGTGCCAAATTTCAGCGATGATTGACATGTAGTAATTTATCGTTATGGTTACTGTGTGTACTTTTACTAATACATGATACCGTTTTACAGCCTGTTATTAATTTAGAACATTTTCCTCGAAGGCACTAGATGGTCAATGAAGTAGATATAATAATTATGAATCTACTTCATTGACAATTAATTAATTAATGTCCAACTCGACCATAAAAATGTGCTAGTACTAAGTAACAAGGAATTGAAATAATTCACCAGTTTTATGGACCGGCTCGTCTTCAATTACGCTAAAACAACTCATGAAAAGTTAGCAATCAGCATCATAAGTACTCGGCGCGTTCCTCAAGGAGCCATCAGACCACCACAGATGGGGCCCAATAGGGCTGATGCCGATACGGAGCCGCGGAAGACTTAACGGGTTGCCGGGGCTCCGTCTCGAAGTGCAGGAGTAGGAACGGGGTGGATTTTAGTCAGTAGTGTCTGACACTTCCTCTCGCCTCACCAGGGTGGTAGAAGTAAATGGATGGTTATCCCCCCTCAAAAAAAAGCTTTAGGTATAAGTACTAACTTCGGCTTGTCCTTTTATCGAAAACGTATGTATTTGTTATGTAGGATAATGATTTAATGCAATGTCGAAAAGATATTGAAACACATTATTGATACGGATAATTTGCTACCTATTAATAGGCGATCTCGTTTATCTGCCGGCTATCAGTTAAATGTATCGGATACGATACGACCTATCACTTTGATAACGGCCAAGTTCATTATTTCTCGTAGAGGTCGTGTGTAGAACACGCGTCAAATGATAAATTTAGTTAGAATTTATTTTTATTAGGTAATTCCTTAGCAAGGTTTGATTTCGTAATTTTTAACCAAGTTCCCAAAAAGGAGGAGATTATCAATTCGGCTGTACCTACCTGTTTTTTTTTGACACTGTCTTCTTACCGATCAGTGGGTGGGAAATTACCGTTTTTACCTTTTGTTTGGTTTTAGGTTTTGGTTTTCGAAGTCGGATTTTTTTAACTCAGTTTGTTTTTATTTTTCAAAGGCATAATATGACATTATTTCTTTTTTTTCGAACCTTAATATTGGCCTTCAGGCGCGACAGTGTTTAATAATCTCTATTCTTCATATTCTTTGTTAAACTATTTTGTAGGCAATACATTCTAAACTAGATTTCAATTTCAATATTTTCATTGAATCACTTATGTAACACTGTTTGATTCATGCATACCTACGCAAATTTTCCTTGACATAATGTTTTTTACCTTTCAGAGGATAACCACATGAATAATGTTTCTTCTGAATAAATGAAATACCTAGTAGGTAACAACACAAGCATATTTTCCTTTTATTTGTAATGTGTTTATGACTCCATCAACCACAGAATCTTCTCTTGGTTCAGGTTAAGAGGAACTATTGGTGATCAACATACAATATTAATATTTCAACATAATTCTTTTTATTTTACTTTCTTATAAAGACTTGAAACTTGAAATTTCCAACGTGAAAGCCCGAGCCGTTCTTCGATTGATCTCGGAGTCAAGATTCAAGTCATGATACCTACTGATATCCATTAGATTGATGAGATTGTTCAATAAATAGACGAAGTAGGTACTTACTAATGTTTAACATATTACCTGATTGAGTAACAGTTGGTAACTGATCACAGGAATAGTGTAACCAAAATGTTTACCTACACCTAGCTATCCTATTAGAGCAAATGATTTCTAAACAAATTAAAGTTGACCCAAAAATAGTTAGCACCACCAAAGTTAGAACCGCAGTTTAATGAAATGTATTAAGATAATTATATATTTACGCTACGCGGCGCTCCTATTTCTGGCGGCAGGGTTTGAAGTAACCTAACGAATCACACGACGGAAGCTATAGTGGGACTACATTTTGGGTGTTAAATATATATTTTTAGTAAAAGAACTTAGGGTATCAAAATATTTTCTGATGGTCATAATATTTAATCCCCTTACTAATCTTCATTAATACTCTAAAATTCTAAATTAATAATTTCCGTCATAATCTAATCATAATAAAATTTTGGTACCTATTTACCAGTAATAGACATTATAGGTACATTCAGCTGGTCTTGAAATTATTTTAGTTCTAATTCTGTGTTGTTAGCTAGTTACAGATCTGTAATACTGTAATAGTTCCACACTAGTGCGTCATTAGTTCATTACGTTATGCAACCCTAGAGCTGAAATAACTTGTCGTCTCTGGAGACAAACATGGTACTATGTGTATCTTATCGATATATCTAGATAACGAGATAGTACGAAGGGAAGTTTATGACAATAATTTATACATATACTTAAAAAAATATACGTTAGCGGTGTGGTGTGGCCCTGCAGGCCGCCGCTACAGCCGCAAGGTCATTGTCGGTGGAGCGTAGCGCCTTGACTCACGAGATTGACACCGAGGCAACCATTAGCCTAGGAAAGGTGCTTACTTCAATAGCAACACTTATGTTAGCTACCTACTTGTACACATGTACTTCTATACCTACATCATTAAGTCCCATTTAATATAATTTTACACGTTTCACAGTAATTCGTTTTTATTGTTAGTGATGCCTTATATGCCTTGAATTTTTTACAGGACAATTTTATATGATTTGGGTTTGTGCACTGTTAACGGTGTCGTAAAAATGGTAAAATTAGATTTATAGTTTGTTTTATGAGACGTAAACGTAATGGTAAACCAAAGTGAAGTTCGCAAATAGCACCTCATAGGTAATATTAAATCTATCGCGCTCCGTTATGAATGTTGCCGGTTTATTTATGGCTGCACTCTACGTATATACAGATGTCGCACAAAGTCAAGTTCACTGGTGCGCTCGTGAATCAGCCTACCTACATAATACTCGTCTGTCAATAGAAGAAAGCAATGTTCAATAGTCAGGGTTATCGTGAGACGAGGTATTCTATTGAACCAAGCATGGTAACGTGACCAATGGGCAGTAATAATAACCATAGGTTAGGTTAAAAACAGCACATTTATCAATATCACTCGCGAGTTGCGGATGAATGCTGCCCGATTAAATGTAACTCATTCAATATTGCTTAATACATTCTAATGTTTAGAGTAAAATGGTCGCCTCCATTAACACAATTTTTAATAAGTTTTGCTATTTCTAGAGCGACATTCTTGTTAACCAGACTCCACGTGGCCTTTACCTAGTTGGGCGGGTCGGTTAGCGGAAAGACCAATTGTCTAATTGTTTCATAATTTACCTAATATTGTTTAGCTTCACAATAATGACAACTAGTTATAGTTTATTCAACTGTTTACTTTATTTGCTTATGTAATGGGGAATATTATGGTTGCTGTCTGAAGCAATATGCAATAACTATGGCATGGGATTCAATGGCTACAACAACGACGGCATGCCTAAATGTGACAAATGCCTCAACCGCATACGGCTCAAAAATATAATTACCAGCAAGGTGAGCAGCACAACCAGCACAATCCGCCGATACTGGAAGATGAGAAGGTGCAAGGGTGTCGACGCAGGTTGCGTCCCACACCAAAGACTTTCCCAACTTCTAGAGCATAATGGACATACCGTCAGGTCTCTTACCATCGTCGCGCGCTAAGCCCTAAGTTCCAAAATAATTGGCACTCCGGCGATGACAAGAGCTCAACGGATAATATCGTTAATGTTGGCGTGTCGGGCTATCCGGCCCGCGCTGCTGCCGTTGTTACCGAGGTAGTTGACCATCTCAGCGCATTGACAGCGATGCGAAGTAACACAGGATGGACCTAGACGCAAACAAGCAGCAAGCCGAAAAGTTGAGTCATTCAACATCGTGCCACCAATATTGAGTGATGGAAGTCCTTGAAGCCAGAGGCCTGACTGGCTGACTCCTACTCACCCACAGTCAATAGGCGAGTTAGCTCCGCAAAATTGGTGCTCGTATTAATGTGGTGATGTTGTCATTATTTAATTTATGTTTTTACCGCCGCCCGACCGATTCAACTAATTGCCGCCATTTTTATCAGTGTTGCCAATTTATTTTTCAATATTGCCTTCTCATGGGTCTCATAAAGAGGGAAAATATGTAAAAAAAATCTCACATAAACATAACATACATAGCATCACGCCTTTTATCCCCGAAGGGGTAGGCAGAGGTGTATATTACGGCACTTAATGCCATTGTACAATGTAACACCCACATTTCACTATTTTATGTTACGAGTCCCATGTAACAGGGGGTGAGCCTATTGCCATATACCGGGCACAGTTCCAGACTCCGTGCTACTACTGAGATTTTTTGAAAAAACCCAGTAGTACTTTGCCCGGCCCGGGAATTGAACCCGAGACCCCTTACCCGGCAGTCGCAATTGAGACCACTCGGCCAACGAGGCAGGCTTGTTTGTAAATTAAAATAAAATAATATTTTTATTATTAATTGAACTAACTTACTTACAATTTAATATACAATTTATTCTGACTAAAAAAAGATAATTCATTTCGATTTTCGACAGTCATTTTGAAATGAATAATCGATTTAGTTACTTATATTTTTTCATGGAAAGAGTGCAACTGCAATAATATTTTATAAATTGGTTTTATAAAAATAATGTTAAAAATGTCGTATTATGAACATTTAATTATTCTTTTCATACGGAAAATAAATTACTTATATGTCAAAATATAAATATCAACGAAGTGGAAAATAAAAAAAAAATTTGAAAATCAAATTCAAAGAGATGGTTGTTATTGTTTTATTACACTTTTATATGACTGGTACATGTACATGTACATGTATTGACCAAATTCGCTCAATCCGCCAAAACAGCGGAAGGATGCCAGAAACGGTGTTCGTTAGGCTAAGGCGGCGGGAAAGGCGACACGCGCTTGAGCGGTGGCGTGACCGGTTAGAACAGCCGGAATACTCACGCAAGCGCGTTGTCGAAGCCATTCTGGCGCACTTCGAAGCCTGGCTGAAGAGAGAGGAGCGCATCTCCTTCAGGCTCACTCAGGTGCTGACCGGACATGGTTGCTTCGGTGAGTACCTGAACAAGATTGGGCGAGAGGCTACAACAAATTGCCACCATTGCGAAAGCAACTTGGATTCCGCACAGCACACGCTTGAAGAGTGCCCAGCGTGGGCCTCAGAGCGGCGGGTCCTAGTTGCCAGGATCGGGCGAGACCTGTCTCTGCCAGCAGTAGTTACGGCTATGCTGGCAGAGACAGAAAACTGGAGGGAAGTTGCCACCTTTTGTGAGACTGTAATGTCCCAAAAGGAGGCTGCTGAGCGGGATCGTGAGAGGGCCGATCCCACACGTCGAAGGCGTCGAGGAAATAACCGCCGCGGCGCCTAATATGTTGATTTCCTGCCTACAATATTGGTAGGCAAACCTTTGGGGTCATGGGCGCATAGAGTGGGGAATCTAGGCGTCCACCTAATGACCTCAAGGATGACGGCGGCACAGTGGTCACGTGCCGCCGTGCAGTGCACAGAGAGGCTCTAGGAGAGACACATAGGTCTCCATAGGGAGGTGCCGTAACAGGCGTTGCACTATGAGGGCACCGGAGTTGGTCTACTAAGAGGACCCGGTGCCCCCTTCAAGTGCGGATGGTGGCCACCGGGGAGGTTTTAGTGAGGTAAAAATCCCACACTCCCTAGTCTTTTTCCCCAAAAAGCTAGGCGCCTTTGGAAGGTATCCCCCCGTCAACAAAAAAAAAAAAGGTATTGTATGGTGACGTTCTATGTAGAGTAGGCATTATATTCATTTTTTAAGAGGGAAAATCATCGAATGACTGACACTCCCTCCCGCCTCGGTAAGGCGGGAGGGAGTGTCAGACTGTTACTGACTAAAAACCACCCCATTCCTTCTCTTGCACGTCGAGTCGGAGCCCCGGTTACCCGTTAGGTTCTCCGCGACTCCGAATCGGCATCGGCCCTGTTGGGCTTCATCTGTGGTGGTCTGATGGCTCTTTCTGGTCGGACGGGGAGCCACCCATGCTCGCCGTCCGCAGGCCTGCGCTTACGGTGGCCGGTGGCCGGAGATCGTCCCGCGATCTCCGACGCCCGGTGTGTCCTTCGCGATGGCTGGGTTGCGAGGAGGCTGCACTTCGCTGTCTCATGCGTCCCCCGTCTCGCTTAGCTAGCATGACTGCTTCGCAAAATGAGGAGACGGCATCCCAGTCCCCCTCGCTCCGCATCATGGCCTGCACTAGGCCCGGACGCGAGAGATCGCCATCGTCGATCACTTCCCTGAGGGCACGGCCGGGTGCTCAGCCCACGCAGGGCATTCCGCTACAGTGTGTTTCACCGTATCCTCAGGGCAGTCCTCGCAGTGATGACACCCAGACGTTTCCTTCCGCCCCATCAGACATAGGTACCTCCCGAAACTTCCATGTCCGGTGAGGACCTGCGTCAGGCGGTAGGTGAGGACGCCGTAGCGTCTCTCAAGCCACTCCGCAAAGAGGGGACTTACCGCTGCAATGGCAGCGAGCCCAATCTGTAGTAGGCATAGATTGTGTCGAACAGAAACGTCCTTTTCTTCAGTTGACGCTTGACGCTCGAACGGTCGGTCGGACCACAGACTTAAAATAGATAAGCAGACCGAACATGGGCAAAAAAATCGAGAATTTGTTTTAGTCAACCAATTTGTTTTGGTTATTCCAGGTAATTTCTTATAGCTGTCACATCGGTAGGCATTGGACTTCACCATTTTATTTTAGATTATTAAATCGTTTAATGAAATTATCAATTGTTTTCTCATAAACAATGAATATTTTTCTTTATAACGAGATAGACACAATTGTAAAAACATAATATAACGGCGCGGAAAAACTGGCTACATGTCAATATTTGTCTATGTGAGGAGCAGTGTGGCTACAGCTCGGAACAATAACTAGGCATGGAAGCCAGGCTAAAATAGTAATTTACAAACGTATATCTGATGCTCTCGCTCTTTACACAATTTTGCGTAGGCGAGAATGAGACCGCAAACTAAACATAGTTCTATAATAATTTGCAGGTTGTCACAACTTTCAGTGGACTCATTACAATCTTATGTCATTGGACTTATTCAGCATACTACCAAATTCAAAATCACGTTTTGACGTTCTATGTTTCACAGTTTCACTCAAGTTTGACACCTTCCTCACTTTGCCGGATTATAGTACTGAAGTGTCACCGTGGTTGTATTTACGGCTCCTGATTATAAAAAATGTTTTTTATGGAATTAGCGCAAAAGAAAGGAAGAAAGGAAGTGTATGGTCGTTCTTTATTATGTGTTTTCCTTAATAAAAATACGTCTTGTGTGATTGACGGCTGCAATTCACATTTAGGAAGAAAAGAAAACAGTGGTGAAAAAATACACTTTCATTCGTAAGTTTTTGATATGTTTTAAAATAAATTATATTGGAAATACCGGTAAACTATAAATAAATGTTACTTATTTATTGTCGTACTTTTCAATTGTAAGCCTAAACAGTATTATTCCATCTTTTCCTAAAAAATCTAAATCAATTTTCTAAGTCAGTTTTTAAGCTAGTGATGTGGTCATGTTACATATCGATATTTTAGTTAGGCTTTGAAGTTCTTTATAGTATAGACGTCGTTTAGAACCCGAATCACATGATACCTTTGATGATTTGACAGACCACGACTACATTTTGTACCCATCATCTATTACGGAATATTCTAAAAATGTCATAGAATACATAATCGGCTTTATTGGAAAGAAATTAAAAAATCTTTACAATGCGAAAAATGCATAGAAAGTCTTGAAAACACGGAGAGTATTCCTTAAAGATCTTTGATATCTTTAAATATAGAGGTAGAAGAGGCCTATTTAAACCAACATATGGCTTAACCAAGATCTGTCAGCTGACCGAAAAAATTATAAGAGAATATCAAGTGCATATTGATTCAAAATCTCTCGGTAAACCAAAATAATTATTAGATTGATTAATAAAGTTTCAGCAAATGTGTTGCCGTCAGAAAATTTTCGAGAAAAAAAAGATTATTCATTAGAACAATCTTTCTATGTTGATCACAGAAATCTTATAAAGTCCATAGCACAAAAATATTTTAAACTTAGGATACATTTTAACAAAGACAATTATATTTAAAAGTCAATGATAAACACATAATAGTGCACCACTACCACGGTTTGTAAATATGCTTTGTTTGTGAGCAATTAAATTATCTTTTTAATATTGTGTTTTATTTTTGAACCCACGACATCCAGATTAAGAACCTAATGTACGTTAGACCACAGCAGCAAAACTTTCAGGTACCATAATTTATCGATAAAATATATTAATTTATTCCCATCACTAGCATATTTACAAGTAGTGACAACCTGCATAATAACGAAACGAAACAATACACATATCTCTTTCTTATACACTATCAATACCATAAGTAAAAAAAAGATGAATATATGGAGTGTAGTTGTTATTTTAGCCTGGCTTCCATGCTTTAGTTATTGTTCCGAG